ACACACACACACAAACATATTAACTTGAACAGGACTTTGTTGGAATCCATTAGTAACAAAAAGGTGAATATTTATGCATGCACTCCAGATGTACCAGAAGTCTTTTTCTACAACAGTGCAACATGGTATTGATGTACAAGCTTTTTTATTTTTGGATTTTACTGTGGCAAGAAAGAATAAAAAGACTATTCATATCTAAGGATGAATTTATATACTAAAAACTCACCACTAAACACGAACTGAGAATCTGGGCTGAAGGAAGCTTCTAATGGAAGCCCTTTGTTGTTAATGTGACCCTAAAAATATATATTAAATATTCTGACTTATCTTTGGAAAATAAAAACTTTAAAAATCTAAATACCATGTTAATTATGCAGTCACATTATTTAACGTTTTTTAATTATCCTAGTCCTGCCTACCAAATCTTGTTTGGATAACTGTAAAACCACTTTATAAGCATATTTGTAGTTAAAAAAAAGGCAAGACTTTTATACACAGAACATTAAAGTACTATCAGCACAACTAAAAAATGTAACAAAGTAATTATTCAAAAAAAAAGATATGTTTGGATTATACATATCAATTACAAAAACAAACTTATTTTAAGTTAGTTGGACAAACATACCATTAATGTTTGGAGTGGTTTTCCTTGGAAAGCATCTATTAAATGTATGACCTGCCCATTAGTGGATATAAGAATCATCTTCCCATCAGGGCTGAACTTAAGACCTGTCCAATCACAATCTTTGTCTTGTGGAAGCTTAAAGCTATTGAATGGACCCTAGAGTCACAAGAAAAGATGTTTTCATAATATACAAGAGTGTATGTAATATGTGAATATAATTAAAGAGACAAAGACTGGATTTTTTTTTAAATCTTTCCATATCAACGTTTAAATATACAATAAAGGAAATAATTATTAAAACATACAAGTGATATATATATATATACAGGAATCAAAAATAGCAAGTAGTTCAATAATATGATGAATTTATTAATGGTACATAACATTATTACAAAAAACATACATGAAAAGATACTAACATATACACTGTACTAGTATTTTGTATTTGAGGTATCTGCTTTATACATAGCATAACATTGTTTTCAAACTGCTGTGGCATTCCAGAATAATGTCTGACAGATGAGTTGAAGTATCCACAAAATGTGTATTCAGGACTTTTAAGTGAAGAATAAACTGAAGACAGACAGCAAAGGAAAACAAGCAAAAATGTATTATATTTCACACTATCCAAAAAGCTTTGTATGGAACAATGCACACACAACTACCTTGGCCAGACCTCTGACAGTGTTGGACCCCTGGAAACAGGCATTATTCAATAACTTCAGACATCGCATATATAAAAGTTCTTTAACCATTATCTGGTTGCTGCAGAGATAGAGTCCAAGTTCAATGGGGAAGGGCGAGTAGAAATACAAAACATACTTTCTACTGGGAGTTGAAATTAAGCCAGCTCCTTTACAAGAAGTGACCAAATCTTCTAACCATGAAAGTTTCATAACTTGTCCATTCATAATTACAACCTGCTTTCTGATACAAACTAAATATTCTGAATAAGTGTATATACCAACTACATTCTCAGGTGTAATCTTGCTCAGCAACACAATACAAAGTTAAGCCGACTGAGTTTGCTCAGGAAATTTATACTGGATATGTACACCAACTTTCACCACAAAGTTTAACCTGAGTACCTGAAAAGAAAGAACTGCAATTCAGCATTTTGGTTTATCAAAATTCCCAGTAATGAACAGCTGAATCCAACTTTTTCAGATTTTAGGTAAACAAATAAAGTCTCAAGAATGTTTATGTCAGGATTCTGTGCAGACCAAGCCATGGTTGTGAGTTTAACATCAAAATATATGTCATCAAGATATTGTTTCACCACATTTTCTGTATTATTGGAATCAATGTTTTGCTGGAAGGGTGAATCTCTGCCCAATGAGTAGTGTTCCCAAGTAATGGCATGATAGTTCAGAACCTGCATGTACTTGTCAGCAGTTAGGGTGCTATCAATTCTGCATAGATCACTAACAGTGTTGGCTGAGATTCAGCCCCAAACCTGTACTGATTTCACAACACTCATGAATCAAACAAACTTTTGTTGATTGTTGCAAAACAATCCAAACTTAAGTATCATTCAAAGCTGTATTTATGGCAACATCTTAAGATTTTTGTTCAACTACTGTCTATCTTGTAGAGAATATACCTTGTGAAACATAATTTTTGGAGACTTGTTTTTGACCATGACCACTTATATTATTAACAGTGCTAGTTTCACATAGCCACTTCAGAATTTTGCACACATCTCCTACTATGCATAAAGTGCTAAAAGGGAGTACTGCATATGGAAGATGTGTCACCCTCCTGTGTGTAGGGGGCTATAGATTAATGCTGATCGCATTATGGACTGTCATTCAAAGACATGGCTCATGCACTAAAACTTTTCAACAGTGGCATGAGGTACTAGCTATCTGTTCTGTGTTTAGGTATCTATCTGAAATACTTTTTCATGTAAGGAAAATGTTAGCTTCACTAAAGCTTATTCTTGATATGGCAGAAGAAGAGGGGAGGAAGAATGGGGGTTCTGTGAAGAGATATCTGTCTGAAACAAATAAGGAAAATGTTAAAAATGCTTCTCACCTCTCCACAGAACAGATACATAGAACCCCATATTCAGAAAATGGTGAAAGGACTAGTGTAGATAAAAAAAATGCATGGATGAGCTGGAACTTCTTTCTGAGAGTAAAGCAACAGGAAGGGAAAACTCTAGTGGATGCATCACATCTATCTCAAGCATGGAATATTCTTTGCTAAATACAGGTAATAATGAATAAGGGTAGTGTCAAAAGAAACACCTGTGTGGTATTAAAATATCACAAAGATGGATGGAATGTAAACACTGGATAACTAGCCGTATGTCTCAGCAGGTTGGCAGACTATGTACGTGAAGTGTAGCTATGGCAATAAGTCAAGCCATACAGTATAAGAGAGATATTTACTTGAATAAGCAGATGCAGGGATAAATCATCCCAGACCTGAGTACCAAGGAGAATGCAAGACCCATCCAGCTGGTCAAAACCAGTGCAAATGGTCTGGTTATGTGTATGGGTGGCCTGAGTACACTTCCAGGCAGACACCCCCTACTTTATTTTTGATCAAGAGGTGCATCCATTCAGTCTCATACCAATGAGATTACATTGACCTGAAGGGAAGCTCTTCAAATCATCAGGTTGGTAAAGAGGAAGCAAAGGTTCTCCTATTCTCTTATAAGAAAATGGGAGGGAGAAATTTGTACAAGTGAGAACATCATAGAGGTGCATAGACCAAACATGAATTATCTATAATCTGCATAAGTTCCCACATTGAGAAACTATGCAATGGGTTACTTCAAAGAGTGACAGCAGGAGCTGACCAGGTTTATTGGCAGGGAACACAGTGCTGTTTCTTTTTTGTTGTTGTCTGGAAGGAGCAGTATGGCTTGGAAGGTAAAATATAATGACTTCCAAGCAGTTTTGTGGAAAAAAACCATCTCAACATTAGCACTGAGCAGGAGGAAACAGTTTTAAAACTTTCTGTTATCCCTTACAAATGCAGACTTCAGGATAGAGAAGTATTCCTTGTGAGACAATACCAGCTAAGTGGTGGACTCCACTGTCTATTGTGTGTGAGTATATATTGTATGTTATGGCAGGGTGGCTTCTTTTTTTTTCTGTGAAAGCTGCAAGAAAAAGAAATGATAAGCAATTCAGCTTTTTATATATTCTGGGTAGATTGGAGTATGGCAACAGAAAGAAGACAAACCTCAGAGGCAGAAGAAACTACAATGTTGTGTAAGGAGTATGACATAAAGGTGTCAGGGTTGTCCATGTTCCTGATTGCATATCTCAGCTAAATGAAAGATAATTTGTGAGATAATGAACCAGATGGGAGGTGACATAAAAAAAAGACAAAGTAAGAAAAGGAAGTAATCTCCCATAGAGGAATAGACAAGCCAAAGTAGTTGGTTAATCTAAGTGGTCAAGGCAGAAGGAGATAAGGTACAAGAATAAAAGGAATCTCATAAAAAAATTGACTCCCAAAATGGGAGCAATTCCACAGAAACATCAGAAAAGATTCAGTCTAGGTGAGATTGCCACTAAATTCTCCTTAGACATGGAAGACCGACAACCAAATGTTGTTGTCATGAGCCCATAAGTGGTGTTCAAGAACAACAACACACAGGTCCTGAGAGCAAGTACATCCCTGTGAACTGACATAAGAAATGACATCAGCATTGTTGAAATAGATCAAAACAGGATGTCCAGTTTGTTTCTCTGTTGTTAAACACAAAACTACACACCATGTTATCTATGCTGTGCCCACCATAGGTATCAAAACCCAAATTTGATATTATAAGTCCTCAGACTTACCAAGAATCCAGTGCAAAAACGAAAGAGTTCAAAATAGAGTCTAACCCCAGAGAATAAGGCATCCTAAATAAGGCTGAACCAAAGAAGCAAATGAACAACAGGTGAAGAAGAAAATGGGGCAGCCTGAAGAACAGATTAGTGCAACATTCTCCAATAAACCTGTATGAGTAGCAATGCAGAGCCTCAGAATAAAAGAGTGAACAGGACAACAAGCTAAAAAGACAGATAAACAAAATATAAAGATCTTGATTGAGGGTCAATGAGAGTCAAAGTAGGAGAGGAAGAAAATCCTGAAGCTGGGAGAGGAGATTCAAGGGATAGGAGAAAGAGAAAGATTTTCAAACTACAGGCCACAAAGAAGGAGTCTTATGACTGAGGAGGAAGTGGCAACTGAGAAACAAATGAATCAGAGATAGAAAGAACCTGAAATAATGCAACAATTAGATGACAGAGGAAGAAGAGGGAAAAAAAACTGTTTTTGTTGAGGTGCATGCAAGAAGTTTATCCAAGAATTAGCAGAAAGAACTGGAGTAAGAGAACACATGACACATACCTGAATCATCAAAGCAGTGAAGGATAAATGTGGGTGTTACCTTTGTCTGGGATAGAAAAATCTGAAGCAAAGGCAGGTTGTGGGAGGAGCTGACCAAAGTTTTCCAAAGACAAGGCCTGCTCAGCAGAAGTGAAAGAGACAAGAGGCTATAAGACCTTAGTCCAAGGTGAAAAATGTGGGATAGAACTAACCATGTGATGTAAAATGATAGAAACACTATTCACCAATAGAATAACTTCATCAACACTGAAGGAAAATATGACAACTCCTATGAAAGTGTGTCTCTGGACATTGGTTTCAGAAATGTGGATAACAAGGTGAATCCAGTAAGATGCTCAAAGCAGAATGCATGGTTGTTGGTTGTTTATTTGGTGCTTTATGGTGCAAAGCAACGAGGCTTTTTGTGTCAAAAACCGGTAAAAAAGTGAAAGTAAATTAGAGTAAAATGTAAAATTTCAGCTAGTTAAAACCGAAATATGTCCAAAATGTGGATAAAAGATTTATATACAATTAAAAACACCAATATTGCATAAAAAATTAAAAATACAATCTAGTCGGACAGTGTCACCATCGCCAATGACACTGTCCAACGTCAGGGGTAAACTCTTACAAATTTCGTGTCTAAAATGGTGCCGCTGCTCACGGTTGTAACGACGGCCCGAGAGTAAAATGTGGGCTATTGTGACTTGAGTGTCACAATGGCTACACATCAGTGAGTCAATACCAGATAAAAGAAAACGATAGGTTAAAAAACTGTGACCAATGGGTAGCCTAACCAGGACTACTTCCTTCTTCTGATCCTTACAAAAGCAAGATGGCCAAAGACCAACAGAAGGTTTGATCTGGAATAGCTTGTTATGACGTTGCTCACTCCAAGTCGACTGCCAACATTTATCTGAAGTTGTTTGTCGTCTTCCTTAAAAATGGTTTCCATCCTTCAGTCAACACTGTAATCACACTTTTTATAGGACTTAAATCAGTACAAGTAGTATGAAGAAGTTTTTGTGGTGTGTTATAAAAAAACTAAAATCACCAGTTTGTAGGCAATGCTACAGAGGACAAGATAAATGATTGGTCAAATAGTTGTATCAACTCTTACCTTTTCATAAGATCTCAGATCATATAATTTCACTGATTGTGAATTAACACCAACAGCAAAAATTAGTCCTTCAGGGTCAAAGTTTGCCACAGGTCTACCAGTCAAGTGCATTACACCCTACAAATCAGAATAAATTACACAAATCTCAATTTACAGTTTTTAACAACATGTGTAACTGGCTGTAATAAGTATTTCCCTTATCTTAAGTGTAAACTACAAAAAAATTATTTAATAAATTAATGAAATTCCAAAGTGTTTTATAATTTCAAGGCAAAGATGTTTTTCACAAAATCTTTATATATTATTTCCATACATATCCAATACAGACTAAATTTTCATCTTATCTTTAGGAAAATTACAAAACAAACCCATATATATCAATATTTTATCATTATAAATTAATAATGAATAAAGACTTAACAGTAAATAGTAATAAATGTCACTCCTATAACACATCCATCATTATAAAATGTGGAGTGAGATCTTTTTTTTGCGAGTAATGGAACACAAATTAGGGATCCATAGTGCAGCACTATAACATACTGAACAATTTATAAACTAAAGGTTTTATGCCTATGATATTTGGTTGTTAATCTAGTACATACACTTGTGTTTTTGAGATTTTGTATGTATGTATGTATGCATATGTGTGTGTGAACTTTTTTGCTAATCTTATTTTCTTTAAAGACTTTAATACTATCAAAAATGCAACACTTGATAAATCATACATCTGTAACTCAATTACATTTTGAGTGGCCCTCTCAAATTCAGCCATAAAGCAGAACTCAGGAAACTCTGGTTTTACATTGTAAGATTAATTTCCACCCCAAAAACAATCTATATTCAACAGGTATCACATTGTAAGCATATTTAATTGAGTGAGTTTTTTTTATAACTAAGTTATCTCTTTGAATACATATATAAAACTGAAATTCAGTCACTGAATACATTATTGTTCTACATTTCAAGAAAAAACCATTTAAATATCACAACAATGTTTTATAAAATAGTATGATTTTCGAAAAGTTTCAAAGATACGCCTATCGATTTATAACTGTGTGCTATGACAAGGACATTTTGAACATGTACATTATATTACTGATAGTTTCCTGTTCTTTTCTTTTGTCAAAATTTAACACATAATGTGTACTATTAAACTGGCACAGAATTCATTTTGTCTTCTATGTATAACAGTAACCTAAGATGATATCTTACAATTTTCTTGCTATGATGCTATTCATACATTATCTTCAATTTGCTATTTAGGTTAATCTCCAAATTGCATAAATATATATACGTGTTTATAAACTGTATGCAACAATTTTCTTATGTTTGAAAAATTAAAAACTTCTAATAATGGTTTTTCTCATGGATTCTTTATATTCCATCAAATGATAATCAGGAGAAATTAAGGTTATGCTGAATGTCTTGTGGACCTAATATGACTTATAATTAAATGTAGAATGTTAATTTTTCTAAAATTCACTTAACTCCTTATTAACATTTCTACCAGATTTCAGACTATTTTTTAATAGCTTACACTTAGATCTCAAACTACCAAAGAAATAGGTAATGTTTTACCTGACATCCTGGGGAGCGCAGATCCCACAGTCGAATTGATTTATCAAGAGACCCTGACAAGAAACTGTCATCAACAGGCGACATACACAACGTCACAACTCTGAAATATATATAGAACACTGTCTTATGCAATGTTTGTATAAGAGTAAGCACACATTTCAAATGTTTTATCTAAATGTTCAGGCTATACAAAATAAATTGTTTAAACTCTTTTGAATAACCCCAGTCCTTACTCAAAGAACACTCATTTTCAGTTACTGTTAGTAGGTGTTTATGAAAGTTGAAGTAACAGTCTATACAAGATTCAAAATTAATGATGGCCAGATGACAAATAAGCCAGTAGTTTCTATTGTTTAGTGAGTGACAATCAAGAAGCACTGCCATTTATTTGCAAGTAAATAGTTGAATCATAATTCAGAATAGTTTCAACCAATGGTTAACATTATTTTAAAAAGTTGGCTACAAGCATAACACTGATGGGGAAAATCACCCTATGATAATCAAGTTAGGAATGATAGTTTTTATGTACTAGCCCCAGGTCAAATGGCATGAGAAATGTACTAGCCCAAGCTGAAATTCTACTATCCTATTATTTTTTCACTATAATAATTATTACTCACTGCAAATATATACATAACTATATTCAATGCAATTACTTTAACCACTGTATTTCAAAAGTAAAAAGAATACAAATTATTACAGCATACACAAATCTCTGGGTAAGTTATTCAGTTTACATATATGACTAAATTAAAACAACCACACAGCTAATTTTGACATTCAGAACACCATGTCCTTTTCTTCTGTTCATAGAAAAAAAGACAGTGGATTTGTGAGTGGATGGCCAATAGTCATTTTTTCCCAACAGCTATTTGCATTATAAAATAACTATTCTAATTCCAGCAAAAAAATAATCACCTATATTAGAAAGTGTTATAAATATGAAATTAAATAATTGGGTATTTTAATTTACAAGTTGGTTACTGAGTCACTCACAATGTGTTTATATAACAGCTTATGATGAACTAGTCTTAGAAATGGTGCTGGCCTTAGGGTGAGTCGAATGAGGCAACCACCTCAGGCCCCTCACCTTAGTGGCTAAATCAATTGTATACTTCTAGTATTCAAACTCAAGAACCTAATCCTAAGTACTTGCTTTAGCCCCAAATTCTCCTAAGGCCAGCCCTGCTTAGAAAATATTTTTTTATATGTTAATGCTACATTGAGCCACTGATTAATCTTTCACAAATATAATTACACATCTTTCCCCTTTTTTTGGCATGTTGTCTCTAGCTCCAAGTATTCTTAGCAAATAATGAGTAATGTTCAAAATGTTGAAAAGATGCTTCAGATGTATTGTTATGTTTCATGGCATTTAAGAATAATACAGATTACTAAGCAATCAATTTCTAATACAAATGCCTTATTCTGTAGGAACAATCACCAACAGAAATATCCTTTAAGGTGTCCACTAATCAATAAAATATATTTATCAATAAAAAATGAATAATATGTAACTTAAGAAGTGATTCTCATAATTTTTTAAAACAAAATTTTATAATCCATCTGGATAATTCAAAAGAAATAAATGTATTCAAAATAACAAAAGCAGAAAAAAAAAGATTAAACTCCAAAAAAGGGACAAATATATATATATATATATATACACACACACATAAATATTTAACCACAAAACTGTTATACTCAGAATATAATTATTTTAAAAGAAACTTACTTTTTTGTGTGACCTGGAAAGTACCGAATATATTTGTTGTCATGGAGGGAAAGATATCGAATAGTGTCTGAAAAGAAAAACTAACAATATAGAATAAAACATATCTGAAACAAGTTTTAATTCAAATACCATATAACAGTCCACCACCAATAAGGAAAAGTCTAACTCTGAAACTGTTTCTACAAATGCTCCTACAAGCTTTTCATGGATATTTTTACACCCACATTAAAAAAATGTATATATCAAGAACAAGTGTTTTAAATATTTAAAAACACTAATAATCTCTAAAGAATTGTTATCATCTAAATATGTAATTTTTTCAAATGTAAAAACTTATGTGTTTTATCAAATACAAACAAATAATTCCTTGACAACACCATAAACATAACAGATAGTTAAATACAATGTATATCAATCAGAAATGAATATATACATTTCCATGTTGGGGTTATATGAAGTGTCAATATCTGATAGTTACAACATACAAGAATACTTTTTTGCAACTAATATGGTATAGTGATTATACATTTAAGGTTTGTGTGTGGTATGATATAGTTATTAATATTATACATGAATAGCTACACAGTATTCTAGCAATATGATACACTGGTCATATATTTAAACATGTAATCTAGACATTTTATTTCTCCAGTGACACTTCACAACAAACTTTCTCTATACATGTGCTGCTTTGGCTAAAATGATGATGATTATGTTACTATATCAGTACATTTCATTCTAGTGGTAAAATTCTGAAAGGCCTAAAAGCTGCATATATATATATAAATCTAAAAAGTTAAAATTTTCTTAAACTAAAAATGTATTTCCGAAAGATACTTACTTCTTCTCACAAAAAGCATTCTTGAGTTATACTACCCTCTATCAGTGCAAATTTTTGCTCGCCACTAGCCTTGATACTCACACTTATCTCTGCATACTAAGATGCAAATGATCATGCAGCAACCTTCTACCAATCGAAAATACATTTTCAGTTTAAGAAAATGTTAACTGACAAGATATCTTACACTCACAAAAAAATCTAGAATCCCACAATGAACAGGTGGAGGGTGGGTGAGAAGATGATCCCCTTTAAGGAAGGACCTCAAGAAAAACCATGAGGTGTGAGAAGGAAGTAAAAGCAACACACATGTAGGAGACTGCACCACTCCTGAGACAGGAATGTGTCACTAAAAGGGTGGAAAGAAAGGAGAGACCAAAGAAAAGTTACAGAAAGAATGGAACACCTCCCTGTGTAGAGTAGCTAGGGCATGACAGACAGTAAAGGGGAGTTCAACCTCAACCAGCATCTCAAATTGTACATCAGTTCTGTAGTAGGAAGAGGGTCCTCTACCTTTCACCTCACTGGCAGGGAAGAAAACATGAAAAAGGTGAAAAACATCAGGAGAAAGGGAAGAAAATGGCAGGCGAATGAACTGGCAAATTCAAATCGTAAGGGTAATGGGAACAAAAGTTATGGGAGAGGTGAGGATACCACAGAATAAACAAATGGACTCTGGAACCACAGAAGGGTGCAGTATGTGTCATATACCATTGGACATATACAGTTGGATGTAATCAGTAATTCCAATGCAGCAGTAACATCAGTTGTAGTCATGACCACTTGAAACTGTGAGTACATAATTCACAAAACTGAAAGAGGGGAGAAGATAAATAAAATAATTCGTAACTCTCCACAAAAGAGAACAAAAATGGTATATAACAATGTAACTGAAGTAGAAAATTTAAGAAAGATAAAACTTGTGGACAAGTGAATTAAACCGCAACTGAAAACATGTCTATTCAATAAGACTGCCAATCAAGAATTGATTAACAGCTGCAAGAATAAAGAGGGCAATTGTTAGGATAGGGGAGTGCTGCACTCCTATTAGTGGAGGGTTGTTGCATGATCATTTGCATATCATTATGCAGAGATAAATGGGAGTAATAAAGCTAGTAACAAGCAAAAATCTGTGCCAATAGAGGGCAACAAAAGTCAAGAAAGCTTTTTGTGAGAGGGGGTAAGATACCATATCAGAAATATTAAATTAGTGGCACACTAATTGACACAATAAATTAAAACAAATAATATTTTGCTGTTCCATGGTGGTTAACTACAATTTATATTTTTTAAGATATAATTATAATTAGTATAATACGACAAAGTTCAAAGCCTTGGAAGGTACATTAAATGAGCTTTTACTTTTTAAGTTTAGGTTATAAACAGCTTGTATGTATTTTATGCAATAATTTGATTTTTAACTGCAAACCAATAAGCAATAATAACATTTGCGTCTGTTCTACTCCTAAATCAATAACTAAAGATAAATACAATTTAATAAACTCAAGAGACCAAGAATGCTACATGCCTGTTCCTCAACACAGCTCTTTCACTCTGCTAAAAAAAAATCAAGAATGTACAAAACAATCTTGTCCCCATCAGTGCTATGATGTAAGGACATAAGAATTCAAAAGACTATAGAGGACAGAGAACATAATACATTATTGTATTAGATTGAATGTAAGTAGAAATAGAGTATTCAAATCAGACCCAAACTAAAATGGAAACTTTTAAATTGAATGGTCAAACTTAAGTAGAAGGGTAATGTTTTACCTATATGTGTGACAGATCATCTACTGCACAACACAAAACATGCAATGATACATGTCTTTATTTGTGGGCATTTTCCACATTCAGAGAAGAATGAATTGCAGAGAAGTCTTAATATCCAATCACATTTACAAATGCTTGAGTATTTAACATTTTAACATAAGCAATAAAATACATTTAGAGAAAAAAAAAGGTGAATTAAAATCACATATTAATAAACTATAGTAAAACAATTATAAGCAGTATGCAACAGGTATATCATGCTCTAAAAAACTTTTATTTATATTATTTATGCAAAGATTTATTCTTTAGGTAAAAAATACAGTATGTAGCTGTATAACAAGGTAAAAAAGTAGTATGTTAGACTATAATTCTATTATATATGAATGAATATTTACATTAATAAAGATTCTTATTCAATCTTAACACTAGACTCCTAAAATACTAGTATGCACATGTATTGTGATTCCCTTCAAGCAACAAACTTTTGTTAGTGGTTTCTAAACATTAATAATAAATGTTTCTTATATGGAATTAAGATATAAGCTTTAACACACACTAATAACCCATAAAAATGTATCTATACATGTTAATAAAATTTATCTTTGTAATATGATTTTAAAATCTTTGCCAATAATTGTTACTGTTGACACAATGTTTTGCTTGATATAAATACTGATTAGATCTAAGTATTCTGGAACAGAATAAAAATGCTACTCTAATCAAATAATATCATGAAAAAAAAAGAAAAAAGATTGATACCACAAGTTTGAATTATAAAAAAATGAGCTTTTCAGAGGTTCAGAAATAATGTCAGAAAGAATTTTAAGTATTGACTAAAAAAATATTTTGATAATTTGTGAACACATTAGAATCCATAGCCAAACTAACTAGTAACCCACTCTTCATATACTGTCATTGTTTAGGTCTAATGAATTGTTCAAGTCAAGAAGTGAAATTCAGAGATCACCTTTTGTTTGTTTGTTGTTGAGCAAAAAGTTACACATTAGGCTATTTGTGCTGTGTCCACCACAGGTATTGAAACCCAATTTTTACCATTATAAGTCCACACAATTACCACTGTGTTACTGGGAAAGTTCATCTTTTGTATAATCAAGTTATATGGTTTCATTTTGTGAATCCTCACCAAGTTGTTCTCCTGGGGTATGAATTTGTTACAACTTGTTTAATCTTACATATTTGTGTTTCTCAAAAACCATTAAAGTTATCTTTCAATGTCCAGTGCAAAAGAGTTTTTATGAATTACTAATCATGTTGGTAACATTATTTTACATATTCAGTTAAATATTTGTCATGGAAATTTTTAGAAATAATTGACAAACAGGAATACACTAGTTGTGAACTTATATCCTTATGTGTATAGATTAAAAATCATACTAAATAATCTCTGGGAGTGAATGAATCTATATCCATGAGTTACATAACTTACCATCCACTTTAGTTGAACTATGCACTGCTGTGTTAGGAGCATGTGTGTAATGAATGAGATCAACTCCATATTTTTTGCTGTTCAGGGTCTTCTTGTGCCTATTCCAGCAGGAAAGAAACAAAGTACACTACAACTGTTTTCTTAGTCAATATGAAACAATTTCCCAATTTCCAATGTGGACCTTTTTTAGTATATTTGTTATAAAGTTTGTGAGATTTAACGATACAAAACATTCAAGTCACAAAAAGGGGAATGGATAAATCTATAAAAGGTTTCTGAAATAATTTTTTTCTTAAATATAGAATATTAAGAATACAATTATAATACATTTCTCTTTGTAATAAAATAAAAAATAATTATTTATTTAAAAAAATTGAAGTATGTGTCTATTCATTCTTCAATTTTTAAATACACACACACATACAAAACATTATCACCATATTAAGATGGTTATGCACTAACAATTACCTCTGTATGAAGAACAAAAAACATTAGTTATTAAACATTCATTATCTACGATATATAAATCAATACTATCTAAAATATGTTAGACATGAAACAAGGGAAGGGTGGTTAACCTTTAACCACCTAATGTTCCCATATGGGAGCATTGTAAAATATAAGGGTAAAATAAAACTTGCTTTATTTTATAAAACTTTTATCACATGCATTTCAATGTAGAAAGGTTAAGAAACCTGAAAACCAGTTTTAGTCAGACTTAGTTAACTTAAGAATAATTTTTTAGTTGTTCATCAAAGGCAAGTCAATAAGCTTTGGCTATAAGATTTGGGCACTATGTAGGGATGATGGCTACTCATACTTATTAAAAATTTATACCAGAAAAGATCAAAATGCAAGACCTAAAGAACCATTAGGCAAAGAGTTGTTATAGAACTATTAGAGTAAGTAGGGGAAAAAATCTTCATAAAAACACCATGAGATATACTTTGACAACTTCTTTATGAGAACCAAACTTCTAAAATCTCTTGCTGACAAGGAGTATAACGCAGTTGGAACTATTTGGGAAAATAGAATAGAAGGAGGAATAAAGGCTATGTTCTCTAATAAAGAACTAAAGAATAAATCTTGTGGCAGTTTTAACTTTTTCTGCAATGGAGAAATTTATGTATGTAAGAAGAATGGCAATTCCATTGTAAATATCACCAGTAATCTATTCATACATGAACCACTTTGTACTGCAAAAAGACAAATTAGAAGAGGAAGCAGGTCCGAAATAAAACAGCCTAATTTGAATCATCTTCATAACAAGGGAATGGAAGCGGTAAATTTGATAGATCACTTTCAGCCTACATATAGATCAATGATATGGCCAAAAAAAAAAGGTAGTGGCCACTGGTGATGAATTTACTAAATTTGTCTGTATTTTGTGGCATAGAAATATTATTGTAATTTACATTCAGAAGAAAAGAAAGTTGACCATCTTAAATTTAGAAGAGATATTGCTTTAGCTCTGATGAAGCCTTCAAACAACAGAAAACAAGCTACTGATGGTATACATGCAGATTTACCCATAGATGTGAGATTCGATGAACAAAGCCATCAACTAACACACTGTACTTAAAGCAGACGTGCAGTGTATCAGAAAAACATGAGATTATTGTGGCAGAAATGTGAAATACATATTCATTACAGCAGAGGAACTTAATGTTTCAAGATTTACCATTCAAAAGAATAATATTTTCAAACTCAGTGTTTACAACTATTATTGAAAAAATAATATTTTTTTGTAAAGCCTAAGTATTCTAACAGGTAATTAGTTTTCAGTTTAATATAATGCTTTCTTTTATAAATAAAATAATAAAAGAAGTGTTGTTTTTTCATTCTGTGGCTTCAGTAACCTTTATGATCTGTTAGCCTAATATTTCCATGTGAGAACATCCATGTAGCTTCAAAAGTAAAAATGATGTTTCTTTTGAGATGGAAAAAGTATCTTGTGTTAATAAGATGTATTCTATAAAAGTAATG